TTCACAGAACAAGAAATCAGCCAGAAGAAAAGGGACCCGTTGACTCAAAGAGATTTTTGGTGGAACTCAACAAGTTGACACTTAAATTTAGAGGGAACAACAAAAGCCCAAGTATGGCCAAGGAAATCAATCAAAAAAGGACAGGAGAACAGTAGAAGTAAAGAACATAAAGGAGAGGTGTCCAGGAGTGGTGACAGATCCTTATAATCCCAGTAGTTGGAAGGCTGAAGGAAGATCAAGAGTTCAAGGCCAGCCTGGGCTATATGGTGAGCGTTTAATCTCAAAGAAAAGAAGAAAAAAGAAAGGAAAGACAGACAGGAGATGTGCCTTAGAAGATACAAAAGTTATTCTGAAATCATGCTATTTGAATTTTAAGATTAACTATGTAGAAGGATAGGCCAGAAAAGACCCTTGTACATTTCACTCAGGAGATCTTTGAGGAAGAATGGACTCTTCATTAACGCTGTTGAAGCTAGGATCCATACTTCATGCCACATAAAAAAATAAGAACAAAATTAACTCCTGATAACAGATTTAAATATGGTGGCTCACACCTGTAACTCTAGCTATTCAGGAGGCAAAGATCGGGAAGATCACAGCTCAAGGCCAACACCACCTCCCACTTCGGCAAAAAAAGATTTAAGTATAACTTAAAGAAGAGAATCAAGGATACTATGCTTGTGGCCTGCAGAAGGATCTTTTAAATAAACCTAACAAGCACTTTTCATAAAAGAAATTACCAAGTTAAGCTTCTTTAAAATTAAAAGTTCTCTTTATAAAAATATACCATACAAAGAGAATTGCAAAACAGTAACTCCAACAGATATTTGAACATACTAAAAATTACATAAGGACGTCTGCTTCTGTTTATATACCACTACTTCTAGCAGAAAAAAAAAATTCTTGAGCACAAAAGTTGATAAAATCAGAACTTTTTTTTTAGAACTGGGATTTGAACTTAGGGCCTACACCTTGGGCTACTCCACCAGCCCTTTTTTGTGATGGGTATTTTCTGAGATTGGGTCTCTCAAACTATTTGCCTGGGCTGACTGCAAACCAAGATCCTCCTGATCTCTGCCTCCTGAGTAGTTAGGATTGCAGGTGTGAGCTACTGGCACCTGGCTAGAACGATTATTTTTAAAAGCATGTTTAAGGCATCAGAAAGCCACCAACGGAATCAGGTCTTGAGGGGCCATCGCCTGAAAGCTGCACTTTCTTCTCCATCTTGTTTTTCCTTGGGCATGTGCTAATTCTTGATATGGAATGAGACACTAAATAGTCACGGAGACAGCAGCTGGTAAGAGGCAGAAAACCAAAAAGCATTAGGCAATCCCATGAAGGCAGAGACAGAAAAGTTAGAGACCAAGGTTTAAGGTAATGGGCCATGATCCTATATAAAAGACATAAGCCTGGTGTCTGTGACTCACGCCCATAATCCTAGCTATCAGGAGATCACATTTTGAAGCCAGCCCCAGGCACATAGTTCTGGAGACCCTATCTCAAAAATACCCAACACAAAACAGAAGCCTGGCGGAGTGGCTCAAGTGATAGTGCCTGCCTAACAAGCGTGAGGCCCTGGTTTCAAACTGCAATACCCTCCCCACCAAAAAAAGTGAGGCATATACCACCCTGAAGCACTGTAGAAGAAAAACCAAAGAGGCCAAGCAGGGAACTGAGGACTGAGGGAACTAAAACTCGGGGTTCACAATCCAGGAAAGAAAATCACTGTGTTATTTGAAATCCTTGAGGGACTACATCCTGGGATGGGAGAACCAAAGTTCACAGAGTCTTGAAAAGATGAGTTAGCTTTAAATCAGCTCAGACACAGCCTAGACTGAGATGCCTGCTCCTCTGAGGTCCTCCAAGATGCTGGAGGGATTAATCCAAAACTACTACATTTTTTCTCACACCTGATATTGAATTAAATATTGCCAAGTAGATCAAAACAAACTACTAGATAGATATTAGAAATACCAGGCATTTACTTTAAATAACTACGATTGCTTATTCACACAGAGGAAAAGATACGTAACTATACCACAGAACAATAATCCACTAAAAAAGAAAGGGGAAGGTGTATTTTTGGCAATAGCAGAATAGCCTGATTATAATTACAAAACCTACATATGACTTTTTTTTTTAAAAGACAACAATTCAAAGCTAAACAAAGCGAGCAGAGAGTGGAGGGATGTCAGCTCTTCTGTGATGGGAACGTAAAATTAAGACTTGTGAGTCTGTCTTTTGTCTATAGCCACATTCTTAGCAGCTTGTGGTATCCTAATAACAAAGCTTCAAATACATAATATAAAAGGAGACAAAAGTAACAGAAAGTAAGCAAATCTACAGTCAGAGTTAGAGATTTTTAGTACCCACACTGAGTAAGTGATAGAACAAGTCCAAAAACAACAAAACCAAAAGCCAGAATAAAGGAGATGTGAACACATTCAGCTACCTTCACCAAATCAACACTTATAAACTAAATAATGTACATTTTTCTCAAATGTTCATTTCATCAAAAATGCCCATATTGTGTAGTCTCAAAAAATTTAAGATTGAACTTATACAGGTGATGGTCTCTAATCACAAAATTATATTAGGAAAAAAATCCAAAATATCTAGAAAAGCCTCAGATATTTGCTATATTAAATAGAAGGGAAAGGAATGAATGAAAATGGAAGGAAAAAAAAGCTATGGTTTGATGCTAAGTCAGTACTTAGAGGGAAATTAAGAACTAAAATGCTTATATCAGGAAAAAAGATTTAAATTTAACGATCTAAGTTTCCAACTTAAGAGGACAGAGAATGGGGGGCACCTTAAACCCAACTCTAATCTATACTGTTATGAAGCAGATTCTTGGTTGTTTGGGGCCTGGGATATATTGTGAGGATGGACTAGCAAAGAGCACAAAGGAACCTTTGGGGTGTTTAAATATTCTATGTTTCTTGATTGTGGTATTTAGTACATGGGCTTAGCCTTTTATCAAAACTCACTGAACTAGAAGACGATAACTCCCTAGATCACTGTCTTCCATTATTTCCTCCAAAAGCAATACGAAACATTAACCATAGCCTCATCGTAAACCAAAGACAAAGAATATCCAAGCTTCAAACTATCTATAAATGAAAAAGAAAAATAACAAATCCTAGCACAAATTCTCTTACCCAGTGGTGCCTGATCTCATCTCCACATGCCACACCAATTGTATCAAGGCTTGTGGCAAGCAAAAGCAGACCAAAAAGACCCCAGAAAAGAGAAGAAAGATCTGTTGGGGCATAAGAGCAAAATACACTACCAGAGGAAGACTAAATAAATCCCAAGTCAAAAAATATTAAAAGGGGTTCTGGTAGACCAAAGCATGGGAAACATGTAAATTACACTGGCAAAGCTTGAAATGTATATATTCTGCCAGACTGGTGTCTCAACCTATAATCCTGGCTACTTGGGAGGCAGAAACAGGAGGATTGCAAGTTCAGGCCAACCTGGGCAAAGTTAGCAACACAACCTATTCAGAAACAAAATACAAAAACAAAAGGGCTGAGGATAGGGCTCAAGAGATAAGAGTGTTTGCCTATCAAGAGTGAAGCCCTGGTTCAATTCCCAGTACTGAGGAAAAAAAAGTGTAGATTCTTTAGGTGAGAAAAGGCAGAAAGTATGAAGAGATGCACCTTTGGAAGGAAAATAATTCAGAATGAGAAAATTTAGAGTGCAGCAAGACAGACGAGAACCAACCAAACAAGATTCCACCAACCACAGATTGAAAATATTCTAGAATAAAAAATGTGGTGGTGCACACCTATAATCCAGCACTAGGGAGGCTGAGGCAGGCCAGCCTGGGCTGACTCTGTCTCAAATTAAAAAAAAAACCCAAAAACAACAACAACAACAAAAATTGCATCTGTACTGAATATGTGAACTTATCCAGACTTTTTCTTGTCATTATTTTCTAAACAATACATTCTAACAACTATTTACACAACCCTCACCCTGTACTAGGTATTGTAAGTACATGGGAGGATGTGCTCAGATTACATGCAAATACTACACCATTGGATGTAAGGAAATTGAGCATCCGTGGGAGTTTGGTACCAGAGAAGGAGTCTTGGAACCAATCCCAATGTCTATATCCTATACTTACACACCTATGATAAAGTTTAATAAGGCACAAGAGATTAACAATAACTAGTGATAGATAATACAGAATAATAACAATATGCTCTAATAAAAGTTATGGGAATGTGATTTCTCTCACTCTCTGAAAATATTTTATTGTCCAGTGCTTGCCCTTCTTGTGACGATGTGACATAATAAAATGCCAACAAGATGAGATGAAGTGAAGTGAATGAATGATGCAGGCACTGGGCATTGCAACATTAAGATCCTACACACAGATTATCTAAAATGCCAGCACTGTGACTAGCCAATTCAAAAACAGAGATGACTACTATATGACTAGTGGTTACCATGTCTGCTTGAATGTGATGGAATCACATTCCTGAGCATGACGGCATGAGATTTTATCATGCTATTCAGAATGGCAACAATTTAAAACTATTTACTTTTTCTACTGTCTTCCATTTAATATTTTCAGACCACTACTAACTGCAGGTAACTGAAACCGAGAAAGCAAAACTGCAAAATGAGAGGGGACTACTGTAAGGATATTCCATTTATGCGAAGTTCAAGAGTAGACACAAATGATCTATGGTGGTGGACATAGAACAGTGACTGCCAGAAGCAAGGATGGGTAACTGATTCGGAGGTACAGAAGGGTGACGGATATGTTTAGTATCTTGATCTGGATTATGATACGCAGGCATGTGTTTTCCAAAATACGTAGAGCTGAACACACTTAAGATTTGTGCACTTTACTATTTGTAAATTATACTCAGTAAAGTACTATTCGACTTTTTAAAGACATCAATATATCTGTTTTATTATTTTTTTTCCTTTAATATCACTTCCTTAAACCAGACCAAGTGTTAACTATTTATTTTCTTTACCTGAAGCATGCTGTTCCATTCTCTTTTATTTTATTTTTTTGAATAGTAGATGCTGGAAGCGACAGAATTTTATTTCCAGGCAGAGTAATGTGCTTTAGAATGGAAGCTATAAAAACAAAACAAGAAAGAAAAAAGCAGAATACAAAGAAAGTAATCATGCCACATTAGGAAAAATTCAGGATAACAGTTTTTAATATATACAGAATAATCAAAGAAAAATTCAAGCTGCCCTAGAACTATGTTTAAATTCAAACAGGACAATGAATATATTCCCTGCATAAGATATCATCTTATAAGAATCTCCATTTTTTAATATGGTGTCAAGTTATCTGTACAATTAGCATCACTGTAAAAACATTATGCACAAAAGGTGACGAAAAATTATATTGGTAACGTATTATTTATAGTGGTACATTTTAAAAACATATAAAACTTCTACCTTACTTGTATAAGAGTGACTTCCAAAGAGAAAACAAAAAACAATCTTATAAAAAGAAGTAAGGTAAGAGCAAATTTTGTAAGTTAAAAAGAATACTTACAGCCAGGTGCCATGGCTCACATCTGTAATCCTAGCTACTTGGGAGGATCAAAGTTCAAGGTCAGCCCAGGGAAAATAGTTCAAAAGATCCCCACATCCAAAAAAACCTAAGCAAAATGGACTGGAGGTACGGCTCAAGTGGTAGAGTGCTTGCTTTGCAAGTGTGCAAAGCACTGAATTCAAACCCCAGTCCCACCAAAAAGATAAATAACAAACACTTGTTTACTAGTAGACTATTTTATCTAATTACAGGACATTGTGAGCAACAGCTTCTTTATTTATTTATTTTAGGAATAGATTCTCTATATCCCTAAAAATGTTTATATATGTAAAAGAATGCGGTAGTTATCTTTTAGTCTTAAGTACAAACTTTAAAAGATCAAATATCTTTTCTTGCAATACAACAAAGTTGAGAGCAAAACCCTATCATGTTTGAACCCAGTGTGATGAAGCTGGGATGGGCCAGCATTTACCTGGAGGAAACTTACTAGTAGGTATTACAGTGTTCACTGGCATCTTCTGTCCAGATTTCTGAATGGTCAATGCTGAGGGATGGGAAATTGCAGTCACTTGTTTTGGAATGTCTCCCGAAGGCTGCTGAACTACCTGAAACAATGAGATATATCAATCCAGTCATTCAAGTAAACCTGCTTGAGGAAAGAGAGCTTTCTACTTTTAATGACCTGTGATCACCTAGCTATAAATTTACCTTTAACTCAGCATTAACAAGAATGCCTACTTAAAATTCAAGTTTGTATATAGTAAAATTACAGTGTTTCAAAGAGAAAAATCTGACTACCTCACACATTTTATATATATCATCTCAGCTAGGCACCCATGGCTCTCACCTGCAATCCTGGCTTCTTCAGAAGCTGAGATGGGGAGGATAGTGGTTCCAGGCCAGCCCAGGCAAATAGTTCAAGAGACCCCATCTCCAAATAACAGAAAATAGACTGGAGGTATGGTTCAAGCGGCAGAGCACCTGCTCTGTAAGCACCAAAGCTCCAAGTTCAAACACCAGTTCCACCAAAAAAAAAAAAAAAAACTCCACATGAATTCTAATTTTAAATTTATCATGGAAAATTCCAAACATACAAAAGTATGGAGAATGAAATGAAACCACCTATACCATTACCCACATTACAGTGGCTAACTCTTGAAGGGTCATGATTCATCTATATCCCTACCCTCATCTCTGCCATCTCCAATTACTTTACAGCAAATCCAAGATATATCTTTTTATCCACAAATATTTCGAAATACATCTCTAAAAGATAAAGACTTTTTATGTATCTAAAAAGTATCTTCCTAAAACCTCAGAAAGTAACAATGTTAAAGGCATTCTCCAAGGTAACAGTTCAAAAAACCCAGTGAGGGCTGTGGATAAAGAAAAAAAAAATTCAAGTAGTAACAGGGCTATTACTTTTAGCTCCAAAGAAAAATACAGAATGGCAGAATGTCATTTTTTTCATTTCAAAGAAGAAACTGTCACCAAGTATTTTAGCTGGCTCAAATAGTGAGTTATTACTATTAAACATCCTTAAACTCATATGGCTAATATAAACGAGTAATGGTTTGACCAGGAGACGACTAAACAGAATTATAGCAGTAATGGTCTGACCAGGAGACAACTAAACAGAATTATAGCAGTATAGTTTATTCTACTTTCTAATTATTTATAACTAAAAGTCAAGTGTGCAATATTTAAAAACAAAAGTAATGAGAAACACAAAGTGTCATGGTAAGTAACCCTATAGAACTAAAGCCCTTAGAGAATTAATACATTGGCATGATTCAGTTGCCTTCATTCTTTGATAGCAGAAAAGAACTCTTGAAAAATAATGCACTTCAGTGAGTCTGAGACCATACTCATGTACTGTAGACTCCTGGGGATCAGGATGAAGTCTAAGAAGCAATGTACATGTATGCATTCAGACAAAAACTTGAAATTCCCAATAATTCTGGTATGTCTCTCTATTGTCTGTATTTTCCTTCTTATCACTCATTATAAGCTTCTTTTTGGTATTTCAATTATGAAAGCTAGTAATAAAATATTAAGAAGTTATTTTGCAGTTAGTCTTCAAACCATTTTTGATGAGTACTCAAAATGTAATAGAGTTTTAAGCTGAGAATTTGTTTTTGTTTTTTGGGGGTATTTTTTAGTGGTACTAGGACTTGAACTCAAAGCCTCATACTTGCTAGGCAGGCACTCTGCCACTTGAGCCACTCCACCAGCCCTAAAACCACATTAATTAGGTCTCTTATGGAGATTCAAATTATTTTAGAGAAATGGAAACTGGCCTAAAGATATGATACTTGCTCCTACTTGGCAACCAAAATAAGAGCTATGACATTCTTTAAAAAATATATCCTTTATTTGCTTTCTCTTAAGAAAAAAAAAAAAACTTCTACAAGGAAGAAAAGGTAAAGGATATATATAACCTACCTTCTTCTCTTTACATGTGAATGACTGATTTTTTTTAAATGTTAACATAAATAATTAACATTCTGGTAGTTTATAGAAACTACAGGTCTAAAAATGTTAAACAATATTCTTTAGATGACAATTGTTTTTATATTAACTATAATCTAGTATATAGTTAATATATACCAAAATTTTTTTTGTTGGTTTTTTTTCTTGAGCCTAGGCTGGTCTCCCAACAGGCCATCCTCCAGCCTCAGTCTCCCAAGTGCTAGGATTCCAGGCATGCACACCACACCTGGCTTAGAAATAATCCTTAAATTCCTTGAGGAAAGGAGGAACAACAAGCACAGATTAATCAAATAGATGGGAGCAACCTTACTGCATGATTGCATTTATTAAGAAGTTCCAGAAAAAGCAAAACTAATTCTTGGGGGAAATTATCAAAGGAACTGTTGCTTCTGGAAATTTGGGGTTGGGGGCTTAATGGGAAGGGGTATACAGAACTCTGAGATTTGCAGGTGGAGTGACTCAAGCAGTAGAGCGCCTGCCTAGCAAGTGTGAGGCCTGAGTTCAAACCACAATATTGCTTTCCCCCCAGAAAAAGAACTCTGACACAATAGCAACATTCTCTATTTTGAGGGGAGGGGTTGAGTTACACAGGGATATGAACTGTCAAAACTTTCCCAATGATACACATAAAACGTATACACGTTACTATATGTAAATTTTACCTCAAAAAGAAAAAAGGGAGTAAATAAATATTTAAATGTAGCTACTGTTAGCTATGTTTATTTAGGAAGCAATCTTTGAAATTCTATAAAAAAAAACTCAAGATGGATTGATGGCATACATGAGTAAGTATAAATAGTAGTAGAATCTAGGTGACTGATACATGGGTGTTCACTATAAACTTCAATTTTGCTGTTTGGAATTTTTCATAAAATACTTTCTTTTTTTGGCTTTGCTTCTGGGGGAGAGGCATACTGAGGATTGAACTCATCAGAGCCTTGTGCTTGTGCTCTACCACTTGGACCATGCTCCCAGCCTTTTGCTTTGGTTATTTTGGTGATAGGGTCTTAACTTTATGTAGAGGATAGGCCAGGTATGCTTCTCTACATAGCTGGGAATGACAGATGTGAGCCACCTTGCCCAGCCACTGGTTGAGATGAGGATCTTGCAAGCTTTTTGCCTACCCTGGCCTCAAACCATGATCTCTGAGTAGCTAGGATTACAGGTTTGAGCCACCCCACCTGCCTTGTTTTGTTTTTTGAGGCAAAGTCTCACTATGTAACCCAGGCTGGCCTTGAATTCAAGATCCTTCTGCCTCAGACTCCCTAGTACTGTGTATACAACCATGCCCAGCTAAAACACCTTCTTTACTAATATAAACATAAAAGGATATATATATACTGTAAATGTTTCTAGTTTTTTTCAAAAATTATAATGCATCCTTCTAAAACTTTAAAATAGTTCAAGTAAATTTAAATAAACTAGTACTAACCAGCCTACATATCAAGACTGTTATTATAAAAATCCTGATTAAATCATAGTGCATGAAAAATTTTCTGTTTAACTCCTAATTATACATGGTAAATAGGGGGTAGGCCTTATTTGGATTCAACCCCCTTCTACAAACCTTCATTAGCCCTGCTTAAGTGAGATGAAAATCAACTCAATTCCACTTTCCTCTATTGAATACAAAAAAGGGGAAACAAAAGACAAACTATTTTGAATAGTAAGTTTGTCTCCAGTATAAAACTACTTGGCTGATAGAATACTGGCCACCAGCATGCTAGGAGACTAAAATGTATACTTTGATGATATTTTACCTGTCCTGTAAGAACTATGAAACAAAGAGACAAGTAGCAGACTTAAGTTTCACTCAGTTATTTCACATAAAATGTATTTGCTAAAAATTCTTCAAGAATTGCTCCTACTTTAAAATAATTAGGTATAAATAAAAATAAAATGTAACAACAATTTTTAAAGTATTTCAGGGTAAATTTTGGAAGTTCAGATTTACTTCAGTAGAATACAATTATTATTTTTTCTTACAATCACAAACAATAATATTGAGAGAGTCACTGGAAAGTAACTGCCCACTTACTTATTAACTAACAACAATTCTGTTTAGGAAGAAATGCAGGTGATAAGATCAGTTGGGGAAATATGTATTCAAAATAAGAAAATACCTTTAATAAAATTAACATCCTGCTTACTTCCAAATGCAAATTATTTTTAAAGATACTTAAGATCCAAGATGGCAGTTAGGGCAGGGCATCAGAAATCCTAAGCTCCATGACTCCAAAAGCCACCTTGAGAGTCGAAGCTATGCATGGATAATTCTGATTGCTTCTAGCCAAAATAATAACTACCATCACATTAGGTGCACATAAAATTCAAAGACGGACCCTTCAATCAGCCTTTAATTGCACCTAACAGCAGCGAAAATCCCAGGGCACAGCCAGCAAGGCATGTCTGGCCCTGGGAAAAAAGCCCCCTGGCCGTTTCTCTTTTTTTTTTCTTTTACTCCAAACAAGCAGAAAACAGAGCATGAATCAGAATCGAACTCTGTGATATCCTGGACCCCTAACCCATGGAAAGCCTCCCTATGCTGTGCCATTTCTCCCCACCAGCCATTTTCAAAGCTGCTTACGTGAACCTGCAGAGTGAACAGCCTACTGTACCAACTGTACATAGCCCCAGCCAATTCCTAACACAAGCACCCTCCACTACAACATAAATACACCCAAACACACATACAAGGGCCACAAAACCCAGCAGCCCCCATTCCAATTCCCCCACCCACCCCCACCTTTCCCCTCCCCTTCTTTTTAGTACCAACTTTACCAGTTACCCAAATTTCTATATCTAACCTAATAACCCTTACCTTCCTCCCCAAACTCCCTTGTATGGATCTTATCACCAAGGGCTTTTCTACATAATATGTAAACAACTGGTCTGGTATTGAACCTGTGAATTTGTTATTGCTAAATTACACCCTCAGGCCAGGGACAGAAAGAGCACATCAATGTAGGTATGCCAACCTGATATATGACAAAGGCGTCAAAAACATACACTGGAGAAGAGCCAGCCTCTTCTACAAATGTTGCTGGATAAAATGGACATCTCATGCAGAAAACTGAAACTAGATCCATGTCTTTCACCTTGTACAAGTATCAACTCAAAGTAGATTAAGAGACTATTATAAGACCTGAAAGTCTGAAGCTAGTGCAGGAAAGAGTAGGGAATACAGTGGAATTAATATGCATAGGTGATGACTTCCTAAATAGAACACAAATGGCTCAGCAACTAAGGATTGACAAATGTGACTACATGATACTAAAAGCCTCTGCACAGCAAAAGAAATGGTCACCAGATACAAGAGACAGCCCACAGAATGAAGAAAATCTTTGCCTAGCTATACATCTGACAAGGGATTAATAACCAGAACATACAGGGAACTCAAAAAACTAAACTCCTAAAAAAAATCAATGACTCAGTGGAAAAATGGGCAAATGAACTGAACAGAGCTTTTTTTGAAGAAAGAAGTCAAAATGGCCAAAAAACACATCAAGAAATGCTCAAATCCCAACCCATAAAGGAAATGCAATCAAAACCACTTTAAGATTCCACCTCACTCCTGTTAGAATGGCTATATCAAGAACACCAACAACAACAAATGTTGCTGAGGATATGGGAAAAAGGAACCTCATACACTGCTGGTGGTAATGTAAATTAGTACAACCACTATGGAAAACAGTATGGAGACTCCTCAAAAAAATAAAAACAGAACTGCCATATGATTCAGTAATTTCACTCCTAGGAATATACCCGAAAGAATGTAAGTCAAGCTCCAATAAAGGCACCTGCACACCCATGTTTACTGCAGCACTATTCACAATAGCTAAACTATGGAAACAGCCAAGATATCCACTATTGATGAATGGATTAAGAAAATGAAGCATTTATATACAATGGAATTTTATGCAGCCATAAAGAATAAAATTTTGTCATTTGTAGGTAAATGGATGGAACTAGAGAACATCATCTTAAGTGAAGTTAGCCAGGTACAGAAAGCCAAAGGCCACATGTTTTCTCTCACATGTAGAATGCAGACCTAACAGAAATACAAGCAATATTATGAAAAACAGGTCATGTTAAGGGGAGGTCACAAACAAGAGAGGGAGGGTAAAAGAAGGAAGTTAAGAAGATGAATATGGTTGATGTCCTTCCTATACAAGAACGAACACAGAATTTTTAAACCTGTTGAAATCACCATAAGAAGGGGACTAAGGTAGAAAAGAGAAAACAGAAAAATGGGAGGAGAGAATACAGATATATATGGAAATGTCATAAGGAAACTCCCTGTATAGCTATCTCAAACGAACAGAAATACCTTTTTTTTTACAAAATCAGTGAACAGGAGGGCAGGGCAGGTAGTGTCTGGGGAGGCTGGTACCCATGGGAGGGACAAAGATGTGGGGAAAGGTGTGGGAGGATGAATATGGTGCAAATACTGTGTACGCATGTATGTAAATGGAAAAATGATACTCTTTGAAACTATTCCAGGAATGGGGAGGTAACGGAAAAAGATGGACGGGGTGAATTCAACTATGATATATTTGATACACTGTAAGAACTTCTATAAATGCCACAATGCTTCCCCAGCACAACAACAACAGCAACAAAAAGAATCATGACTTCTAAAAAATGTTATTTCCTCTCCAGGATTAAGTTCAGGCACCCAGACAAATCCTGCACAGCTGGTACAGTTCTCCATTTGAAATCCAGACCCAGAGTAGGAAGGGACAAGAAGACTTCAGCCCAGGAAACAGAATAAACTAAAGCAAAGAGATTCAAAATACAACATCTAACACAAAGATCTATAAAAGAGAACACAATAAGCACCAAAAATCAAAAGAATACCAAGCTGTGTTAAGTACTTTACTATAAAATAATGTGATTTGATTAATTCACCATGCAGTATTTCCCATGGATTAACAATACTTTTATAGCCTTCTAATAAAACTTGTTTTTTTCTGAATAAAGTAGAACAATTGAAACACCAACTAATTTATAAACAGCTGAAGTTTCTTTCTTTTACCCAAGAACCTCCGAACCTATCAAGTTTAGGAAATACACCTTATTTATTTATTACTCACTAGTTGCTTGACTTTAACTGTCTGTGGAATGCCAGAAGGTTGCGAAAGGAGGGGACCTGGTGGGGCAAGTTTGATTTGGACTGGAGCGCCAATGACAGGCTTGTCAGGTATGGTCCCAGCAGAAGTAACAACAGGTTTCACAGGTGGAAGACAAAACGCAGCAGATGAAGTTTCTCCAAAAGTCACAGATGGAAGGGCCAGTGTTACTGTGGCTCTGGACACAACTGGATTCTCAGGCTGAAGTGAGACTGCTGTTACTGTGTTTGGTACAGATGTCACAAGTGGTTTTGAAGTCTGAAGCAAAACAGTTCCAGCTGTTGTTCCTCCTGCTACAGCAGCTGGACCCACAGAATGTACTGTCACAACTCCAGTTTTTGCTACCCCTGGACCAGCAAGTGGATTCAGAGTTTGTACAGGCACAGTTCTGGGTGCTGTTACTCCAGAAACAATGATAGGTTTTTCAGACTGGACTGAGGAAGAAACTGTAGTTGTCACCAAAGGAGAAGTTCCTGCTGTTGTCGTACAGGTGGTAATGACTACCTCGCCAGAAGTTTGCTGAACACACTGATCAATGAAGCTCTGGGAGTTAGGCAGAAGCTGTCGTAAGGCAACCACACTTTTCTAGAAATGCAATGAAGGAAAAGAAAACACTCACAAATAAGCCATTAATAAAACAAAATGTTGCATATCTAATGAACATAAAGCAGATGAAAAGTATATCAAGTGTTTAGTTAAGAAAACCTGTTTATTTTATATTATCTGTATCCAATATATAATCAATTTCAAGCCCCAAATGACCTTATATTAAAATATGAAATTATGTTTCAGCATTATTTTTGATACCTCAATTATCAATTTATAAAATAAAATACTGTATCATACTTCTCTATATTTCATTAGAATCCTGTAACAGATCATTAATAACTTCAGTATTTATAACACAGAAGAATCTAAGTATTTTGGTCAAATAACTTTCAAACTTTGGGCAGAAAGTGTTTACATTAAAAAAGCTAATACAAAGAGAATTTTCAGATCTGAAACAATATCCTTAATTGATCAAGCATATTTTCTGACTGGATTTTAAGACAAGTGTTTACCAATGTGTCCTGCTAAAATAAAGACAGTTTAAACTAAAAACTAGTAGGTTTTGTTTGTATTATCATCCTAGGTGTTTTTGTTTTGTGTAATGAAAAAAAGATACAAAAGTAGATAGGTGGTAGGTTATTTTCATGGGCTGTTTGGGAAGATTTCCTGCCTATGCCTACTAAGCCAAAAATAATGGAAGTAGTTCAAAAACAAGAATAAAACCACAGCCACTAACTAAGAAGCAAATGAGAACTACTGCTTCTCCTCCTTTATAAAAACTTAAAAACATTCTTATCTGGAGAGATTTTTCACTATATATATGCCAAAAGTAGGAAAAAAACTCATAATCTTTTTCCAAAGTTTAAAAATGGCAGAAACAAACTGTTTTGGAAATACATGGAAAAAATGACTTAAATAAGTTTAAACTTGAAATCTAAGAGCAGATTCTCAGAAATGCATAATTGGAAAGAAATGTTAAAGTAAGGAGACTTAAACAGACAATGTAAACATATATTTGAATTAATTATCTCTTGATCACTTAACCAAGGTAAAGCCAAAATATACAATTCCTCATCCCTAGGGAATATTCAGTCCCTAAAAGCTTCCAGGAATGAGAGAAAACAAAAAAAAAAAAATACTCAAGGAGTCAGGCACCTATGGCTCACACCTATAATACTAGAAACTTGGGAGGCAGATATTAGGAGAAAGCCAACCCAGGCAAATAGTTCACAGGACCCTATCTCGAAAAGACCCAACCCATAAAAGGGCTGGCCGAGTGGCTCAAGTGATAAAGCATCTGTCTACCAAGTGTGGTGCCCTGAGTTCAAGTCATAGTACCACCAAAAAAAAAAAAAAAAACCACTTCAGATTCACAGGTCCTTAGAAAACAGATATGAAGTGCAACTCCTTCGATGTAATATTTGGTATCTTAAAGGTACTGATATCTAGCAAAGAGAGTTAGACAGCCTGTATTCCAGGCCTGTGAGTTTAATCAATTCAGTCTATTTAAATAGTTTTTTGTCCTCTCTAAAACAAAAAATACCATTTAACATCCATTCTCAAAGAGTGATATAACAATTAAGGGCAGTAAGTCCAAATTGTTATGTAAAGGATCTAGCAAACATTCTAGGGTTTGATCTTGAGTGTCCCTCAAAGGCCTTGCATCACAGGACTGGTCCATAGTTTGCCACCATTGGAAGGTGGTAGGAATTTTACCAGGTGGGTCATTAGGGCAGACATAAGGTGAGCAGTTTTGCTCTGCCGTGTGCACTCCTACCACAATATGCTGCTTGGACTCAGAGCCAAAGCTGTAGGACCAACCCAATCAAGGTCTAGAGCCTCAAGAACTGTAAGCAAAGTAAGCTAATTTTCTTTAAAAGTTTATTATCAGGCTGGAGGAGTAGCTTAAGTGGTACAGCATCTGCCTAGCAAGCACAAGACCCTGAGTTGAAGCCCCAGTATACCAAAAAAAAAAAAAAAAAGAAAAGAAAAAAAATATATATATATATGAATATATAATCTCAAGTTGAGTATGACAACACACACCAGTAATCCCATCCCTCCAGAGTCTGAGGTAGAAGGATCATAAATTCAAGTTCAGCCTGACTACACAAGACCAGTCTCAAAAATTCCACTTTATTGCCAGGCACCAGTAGCTCACGCCTATAATGCTAGCTACTCAGGAGATCAGGAGGATTGAGGTTAGAAGCCAGCATGAGCAAATAATTTGCAAGACCCTATCTCAAAAAAAACCTTCACAAAAAAGGGCTGGTGGGGTGCTCAGGGTGTAGATCCTGAGTTCAAACCCCAGTACCACAAAAATAAAAGCACTTTATTAACTCAGGTATTTGTCATAGTAATGGAAAGCTGCCTAATACAGCATCTGTCAGAGTAGACAGTCACTAATTTTCCACCTACTCCCTCATAACTACTAATAGAAGAACCTTTGTAATGAAAGGGATCCTCAAAGGAATGCCTGCAACTTCTCAATCAAGTAGGTCACGTCATCCAATAAAGGGCACAAGTCATTTCAAAACTAGGTAATCACATTTTTAGACACATCTACCCAATCCTTGTGACGGGCTCTAAAATTACAAAGGTCAAATGCGGTAAAAACACATAGTATGAGGGACACTATTAATTCTTCAACTTCTCTTCCCCACACCAAGTCTTCTCTAGTTAAAAGAGTCTCAGCTTCATTAGTCATACTTTGTATGACATAACTTGCACCTTCCTAATCAATTTGGTCACCCACTCAAGAAACAGCTCCCACTGCTTAAATATCATAATGAAAATGGGGTGCTCCCATCCTCTTCATGAGGCAACAAACAGTCTTCTACTGTGAAGCCTCTTTCATTCCCTGGAAACAATTAAACCAGAAACTTTAAAAGGCAACCCCTCATGCATTACATCAAAATCTATAGAATGAGTTTTTGATTCACTATAGCCCTGGTTCTTTCTTTTTTTTGTTTGTTTTTGTTTTTGTTTTGGCGGTACTGAGGCTTGAACTCAGGACGTACACCTTGAGCCACTCCACTAATCCTTTTTTATGAAGGGTTTTAAGACATAGGTTCTCACAGTACTATATGCCGGTTTTTTTTTTGAGACAGGGTCTCACAGAACTATTTGCCCGGGCTGGCTTTGAACCGCGATCCTCCTGATCTCTGCTACCTGAGTAGACAGAATTAAAGGCCAGAGTCACTGGCACCAGGCTAGCTCTGGTCCTTTAATGACTTTATAAATTTCAATGTAGTTCCTTTTTAACTTCTGAGAATCTAAATGGAATTTTCTTTTAGTCTGCCAAAACAAGTTCTTCTTATCAAAGTGACTGTTCTTCATCAAATTCTATCTACTCCAATAAATCATAGAACAGTATGCCCAATAATATAAATCAATTTTTAAAAATTATAACCTTCCCACCAAATTTGGCACTATGTCATCTACTATTCTATGAGAACATGTATTGTTAAGACAATATAGAAGGCCCTACATTCTGCCTTCCCACTCCCTCCCTTCTTGCATGCGCCCACCCCGCCCCCCCCCAAGTATCTTTGAGTACACTCCTGCACAAGCATTAAGCAATATTATCAAGGTATGTTCATGAATAAGATGTTACACAATATTATGAATGTGCTTCATAGTTTGCAAAAGTGCTAAGGTTTCTCCCATATTGTTAGTATCTTCACACTGAATTACTGTCATATTGAAATATTCAGGTTTTAAATTATTTTAAAGAAATCCAACCCACACAAATTTTTAAAGGAACACATAACTTCTCTACCTTAAGAAAAGGAACTAGGTGAGGCTGAGGTGAAGACTTCAGTTCAATATACAGTTTCCTAGTAAATTCTTCTGCTTCAATTTTTGCATCCTAAGAAATGGGAGAAAAAAAAAATTTGTAAGTCTACAAATATTTTAAGAGGCAAAACCAGCCACACTGGTACACGTTCATAGTGACAGCTGCTCAGAGGGCTAAGGCAGGAGGATTGCTTGAGCTCTGGAGTTCAAGGCCAGCCTGCATAGCAGAGCAAGACCCCATCTCCTAAAAAAATAAAAATTAAAAAGAGGAAAGTACATAACTCATGATTGAAGACTAGCTTTGCATAAGTGGTAAATTCCTTCATTATAGGAAGGCTTTTTTTTTCCATATCATTAGAGAAATGAGTAAACAGAAACAATAGAGATGTTTAGTCATAGAGAATACAATGAAGGAAGAATTATGTTGGGGTGGGGAAAGAAGGGGATTTCAGTAAGCAAAGTGAAAGAAAAGGTGACAGAACAAACAATGCTACATTTTTATGATCTGTAAAAACAACCATCACATAAATTCACACAAGTCATGAATTTCACAGGGTAAGAAATAGGAAGTTCTTTAATTAATAGGGGCTTTAAGCTTTTTTTAAATTAACATGATAAATCAGATTGTATTTTCAAAATGCTATTGCAAATTCATAATGTGAGATGCAAAGCACAGAGGAACCCCTATAATTATTATTTTATATTCAGCATTTCATGGGTCTGTGAGGGGTAAATAGTCTCACATTCATACCACCATCTGATGGGAGGGGAGACTGAATTTTTTCACTGTGCTGGGATTTGCATGCAGTAATGGTATAAAAGCAACAGTAGGTACAACTATTGGTAAGAAAGAGTGGGCAAAGAAGGAAGCAAAATGAAAGATGTCATTGTAATAAATAAGAAAATGCAGTTTGTTTCACTTAAAACCCCTTGACAAAGCAAGGAAAATTAATTTTATTAAATCTCACGTCTTCAGTACATATTATCATATGCAACAACACATGAACCACACATGAAACATTTCTACTACACACCAAAGAAAGATACTCAAGGAAAAGCACTTTGTCAGTGAGTCACTAACTAAACTAGCTGGGTTGTTTCTTGTTGTTGTTTTGTTTTTGCTTTTTATTTTTACTCTCATTTTTACTGAAAGAATGACAAAACAACTGTGCTTATTCAGGATTGCATGTTTGGTGCCATTTTCTCCAAAAACACTAAACAAACCACATTACTGTGGGGAAATTAACTAATAGTTATTTTTGCTAATGACAAAAACTAAAGCTCTCAAGCCAAAATACAATTGTTTTTATCTTATTGTTTTTAAATTTGCTTACATGTGTATACATTATTTGGGCAACCTTCCCCTCATGCACAAAACTACAATTTTGGAAAACTGATAGCTACTTCTCTGAACTTGCAGCTTCCCATGACTCAACTCAGTTTTCTGGCTGGAGGTATGGCTCAGGCTAGCAGTGGCCTGGCAAGCTCAAAGCCCTAAGTTCAAGGTGCAGTACTACCAAAATTTTCTTTTCTTTTTTTGCCCCATCAAGAATTTTCTCATAAGACTTTGGATGAAATTAGTGAACACTTTACTTTGTTATCTTAAATAAACACCTAAAAGCATTTAGAAGATCTGTATAACTCAAAGAGTCAATATTCTACAAATGACCACTGCATGCTATTACAGAAACCATACCTGGGTAAAAAAGCTATTTATGGTGCTAAGTTAAAACAGAAGACTCTACAGATTATGCAGGGTCATCTGGAGAGATCTATGAAAACACTCACTATGGGGCTGGGAAGCAGCTTAGTGACAGCACTTGTATGCACGGGGCCCTGGGGCTCAAGCAAGCACAAGGCCCCTAGTTCAAACCCCAATACTACCACCACAAAAAAATCTGTGTCTAATTCCAGGCCCCTAAAAAACTAAAATGCCTTGAGGAGTCTGACCTAAGAACACAAAGGTATCTGAGACCAAAATGTCTGGGAACTATGAGCTACTGTTTGCTCTTCTAAGATAAATAAGAAATGAAGCAGAAAGGATATCTGATTTATTCCAAACTTGCTGCCTGGCCACAAAACTCACACACCTCTGTGTTTAAAAACATGAAAACGTCCTACAGGATTGTTCTTTATCACCATCTCTGTCCATCTAGGGCATCTCTAAGTCTCTATAACTCCTGTCAAACTAGCATATTCTCACAGGGAAAAGCAAAGGCTCAACGTTTACTTTTTAAAAAAAACTAAAAATCTAAATTAAAAACTAACTTCTTTATAACTTATAGTTAACTTTTTTCTTTTATTTTATTATTATTTTACTATTTTTTGGAAATACTGTGAATTGAATCCAGAGCATGGTACATCCTAAGCACATTACTCTACAACCTAGCCATATCCCTAGACCTTACTTTTTTCAGACAGGGCTTCAATGTGTAGCTCAGGCTGAACTTGAACTCATGATCTCCTGCCTCCACTTCCCACATGTTGGGATTTCAGGCATGGACCACCACAGTAAGAATGACTTAACAAATTTTAATATATAAAGCATAAAAGCACCTTGCCAAATGGAAAACTAATCATCTCAACCATAGTCTATTTCTAATATTATATAAGAAACATGTTTAAAAATAGAGAATGTATTTTAATACTCATAAACTATGCTTGTATTCCCTGGACAAAACATGACATATGTATGTTTCTCACCAGGAAAAATTACCCATTTTATATTTAAAAAATGTTCAAAAGCTAGTTATATTATCAAAGAAATCTTAGATAAGTCAAAACATTCATAATTATGTTTATCTGTTACATTCTGTTAAGCAGATAGCATGAACTATTTACTAACATCTACCTTCGTCCTCTAGTGCATGTCAAAAAGCCACATGCGTTATTTGGTCTCCAACACTATAGAAACTACAATGATTATCCGGGTTACTCTTCTCATTTTAAAAGGAAAAATGGAGTCGAAGAAGACTACTCAAGTGGGACAGGTCCTAAGCTTAAAATCTGGACCTACAAGGACTAAATTTCATTATTTGTTGATGGCCTGGCTGTCTAGCACTTGGCACTTCTAATAACAATTTCCTATGTGACCTTCTCTCCAAGGCCCTGTTTAGGCTAAGGGAAACAAGACTGGAATATAGAAAATAATATATATTCAAAACATCATGATGTGTATGGTACAAAATAAAAAGTAAATTTTTAAAAGTTATGATAGATTTTACTTGTCTAAGATAATTTCTAAGATCTCAAGAGGCAAAATCAAAGTTTCAATAAGCAGTAAATTAAGGGGAAAAAAAAAGTACATTAAGTTTGCCAAGTGCTGGTGGCTCATGCCTATAATCCTACCTAGTGAGGAGGCAAAGACTAAGACGATCACAGATCAAAGCCAGCCCTGACAAATAGTACTAGACTCTATGTCAAAAATACCCAACACAAAACAGGGTTGGCAGAGTGGCTGAAATGTTATGGCAACTACCAGCAAGAATGAGACACTGAGTCCAAGTCCTAGTACTGCCAAACCAAAAACAAACAAAAAAAACATGTTCTATAGATTCTCATACAAATTGCAAAATTTTATGGTACTAACTTACCAAAAGTTGTTCCACCAGCATTTTCACATTCTGACCCATTTCTGGAGACTGAGATCCACTACATGCTAGTTTTATTAACATTGCAAGGAAGTTTTTACATTTCTTCACATTTTCTGCCATTGTCTAAATATGGAAAAACAAGCAATCATAAATGTTAGCTGGCAAACAGGATTGAAGAACATTGGTAAGGAATTGCATTTATTTATATAAAGTGCAAGTAAGAGCTTACTGGAGAGAGATTAATCAGAGCAGCTGCTGAGTTCTCTGCTTTGAGAGTGGGCTCACTTGAGGGGGTAGATGATGCTCCCAAACTTGATGGCTTCAGGGTAGTCACAGTACTCACCACTTTGGCAGGAGTAACGGTGACCACATTGGTAGGCACAGCCACAGACTGAAATTCAATTAGATATGTATTACCATGGTACACTCGTGGGTACCTCACTGCACACTTCTCTTACCACAAATGAGCTGAAATTGCTTTACTTGTATTTGATGCTCTAATAGTCAATGCAAGATAAAACAGAAGAACTCGGACTCTAGTAGATCTGGGTTTCATTCTTGCCCACCTACTTTTCATTGCCACCTGCTGCAACATTGACTACAGGCAAAAGTTACTTAATCCTCCTAATCCTCTGACTTCTGTCTGCAAAAGCAAGGACAGCAATGGAACTTACTATCCTAGCGTTATCCATGAAAAACAGTGCCACATACAGAAGTCCTCAAAAACTATTAATACTTTTCTAAAAGTATTTCAAACAGCAAGTCTGTATATAAAAACTAAGAATCTCCTGTACTATAATCTCCTGCTTTTTCTTAAGTATAAAGCACAGTAAAGTACTGATAATCTTATACGTGAATAGGATAAGTTTGTGTAGACCATTAGCACAAACAGTATTGCAAAAAGGGGATGTCTTATTTTCACAGTGAAAAGAATTTCATCTAGTTTATGTATCTTGTCAGAATGAGGTGTGACTCTACCACCACCTGCAGGACAAAAAGTTTCACACAGGAAATGACAAATTGAGTCATAATTTAGAAAAATCACACTGAGTTAAAGCAAACATCTTATTTCAAAGACAAAATAATAGGATCAGGCACAGTGCTTCATGCCTGAATTCCAGACACTCAAAGATAGAGGACCAGCACAATTGATTATGGAGGAGAGCTGGGGCAAAAAGTTAGCAATAATCCAGCTCAATAAACGTAAGCTGGGTATAGTGGTGTTATCTGTGAACCTAACCAAGCGGTAGGTCATAGGTAACAGGATCACAATGGAGGCTGGCATTGGGCAAAATGCCAGACCCCACCTGAAAAGTAACAGAAGAAAAAAGGGCTAGGGTGTGGCAGAAGTCATAGAGCGTCTGTCTAGGCCCTAAGTTCAAACCTCAGTACATTTAAAAATAAATAAATAAAACCTAAGTCATAGGACATAAGATAAACTTGAGGCACAGAGGGGGAAAAAAATATTCAGAGTTCACACAGAAAACTGAACACTGCAGTCATTTTTACTTAAATGCTTGCATTCTACAACAATACAACATAGAAAGAGCAGCTTGTTATGAATATTTTCTTTTGTAACAGTCAAGATAAATCGATTTGAATGTACACTAAAGTTTCCACTTTAGAAACAATGGTGCATCTATCAAACAAGAATATTTCAAGGGTAAAAAGGGAAAGGAAATTAAAAATACTGATGAATTACAAAGACTAGAAGAAATGCAACACAGAGCAAAAGAGGTTAAATTTAAAAAATTACCTGACTTTGAACTCTTACACTGCCAAAAAAAACTTTGCAACTAAAATTAGCACAATTTTAGTAAATATAGAGAAAGCCTCAATGGCAAAAGTGAGTGTTCCTCCCATCCTCAGACCTGCTCTCCCAAGACAACTTCTGTGCATTTCTTCTAGAGATTTTGCTAATTGAGGCTATGTACAGAAACTGAGTCTCTTTCTTCAGAGCCTATAATATACTCAGTAATAAAAGCTCTGTAATAGTGTATTTAAGGAAGTATCACCTGGAATTTTAGCTAGTGATTACAATGGTCTTTGATGCCTGGCAGAGGGGATACAGGGGAGTCCTATCCCCTTTACCTCATGAAGAAAATAAGGTCCAATGAAATGTGAGCCCAGGACAACTGTCATTCTTTGCTAGCAGAGAAAGTACTTAAGGCATTTTCATTTTCTTGCCAGTATTTTATCTTTTCTCTATGCTATAATTTGATCCCAAATGTCTCCCAAAGGCCTAGGAGCTTAGCTTGGTCCCCAGCTCATGGCACTGCTGGAAGTGATGGAACCTGAAAGAGGTAAAGGCTACTAGAGGTCTCCCAGTCCCTTGAAAGAGACATTCTGAGCACAGCCCCTTCCTCCTCCTCTCTTTGGCTTCCTGCTATGAGGTAAACTGTCCTCCATCACACATTTCTGCCGTAATGTACTGGGACATCTTGGGTCAAAAGCAATGAAGCTAATAGACCATAGACTGAAGCCCACAGAACTGTGAACCAAAATCAACCTTTCCTCTTTTTTAGGCTGATTGACCTCAGATACTACTATAGTAGTAGAAAGCTGACTAACACTCCAACACAAATCTGTCCTTCAAAATGCTTTCCAATATAGCTACTACCTGTACCTTACCAGGTAACTACTCTCCATGCCAAATTCTCCTTTAAAGGGTATGGAAGGGAACATAATCCTGATATTCCACTGGAGGATTAGATAGACCTTCAAATATCACACTGCCTTAGACTTAATTTTCTAGACCAATCAGTGGTACTTCCATTCTTTGCAATACTGCATTGTACTGATTAAGCATGTCTTAGGAACAGGAGAGAAAAGGGGTGGATCATCTATCAAAATCAGTTATACACAATTTAATAGCTCAAACTGCATTTCAAGGAGGGTTATTTTCTGTACCTGTATGAAATATCTTCAGGTTTCTTCATATTTAATTAGAAATGCTAATTCTGAAACAAATCATTTGCACATATATATCCTAATGTAACAATAAACATCATTATTTTGTCATCATTAAATAAAACACTGAACACAAAGATTTCAAGCAGTTCTTGTCTTATATTTACTAAAGTAGACCATGTTTCAGGGCATTTTAAAGAAATATTGACAACCATTATGGGACAGTAAACAATTTCAAATTTCTTAACACACATTTGTCTTTCTAGTGAATGATGAAGTACAACTCTTCTCATTTCTAAATTCTTGTTCCTTAATTCCAAGAAGTACTCAAAACTGACATGATGGACTCCTCAGAGTGAACACAAATGTTAACTTCAATTTCTGGGGAATTTCTACTGCCCTAGACTACCACTGAGGAACAACCCAGCTTAAAACATACATGAATTTAAATTAGGAAAAACAATTCATATATGTAGAAAAATAATGGAAGGAAAAAAATTAAGCAACTCAGATATACCATTTCAGAACAACTGCATGTACTAAAGCTTTCTTTAATATTTACTTTCTTTACTGATACATTAAATAATAACATTGATATGGAGCTAAAAACTACCATAATCTCAATATAACTATTTTAAACAATATCTTGAGATAACTTTAACATTTGAGAAAATACAAAAATATGAGCGATTTTCATTTTGAGAGTCACAGATATACAATATTACAATACTGTACTCCAGGGTTCCAGGGTTTATAGCCTACATTCAAGTGAAAAGAAATTCAATTTGCATTTAATAAAGACTTTCCCATCCTTCTGAATTCAGACTCCTGATTAAAATTCCTAGTTATCCTATTTTTATAGAAATTACAAATATAAACCAGTCACAAAAAAAATTTACAAATATAATCAGTGTCCACAAATGGTATACTAACTAAATAAATACAACCTTTTACTTTGTAGAACTATTAAACTTTACTGGGCTGTTGAAGTTGCTCAAGCAGTAAGGGAGCCCGCCTCGGAAGCGTGAGGCCCTGAGTTCAAACCCCAGGGCCACAAAAAAAAAAAAAAAAAAAAGCAAAAAAACCTACTTTACTGAGTATTCAGAGAGCACAGAAACAGAACTGTAGCTGCTGCAGCTGACAAGGAAAAGGTTAAAATCCATGGATGTGGACAATCTCTGACACAGCCTAAGAAGTAACGTTCAAGCAATTCACCTTATCCCTAACTTGGCTGTAGAAGAGCCCTAAAGAAAAAGTAACTACTAGTCTAAATCCCTTTATTAAAACAGTATGATAGTACACATTGATTTAGGTCTTTAGCCTGAGGTCCTGAAAGAGGTAGGAAGGGAGGGAGGATTTACCCAGAAAAAAAACTGATAAAGTACTGCTAGTCTAAATCCCTTTAGTAACACAGTATGGTAGCAGGCATCAATTTACTACTTGACCCCATAATCTTAGACTTTATCTTGGGGAAGGGGAGAGAGACCAAGTGTTTGAGATAATCAGTACAGAGTTCATCAAGAACAGTTTCCACTAGGTGCTGATAGCTCATGACTAATCCTGGCTACTTGGGAGGCTGAGATGGGAGGATCCTGGCTGGAGACCTGCCAGGCAAATAGTTCAGAAGACTCCATCTCTAAAATAACCAGAGCAAAATGGACTGGAGGTATGGCTCAAGCAGTAGAGCACCTGCTCTGCAAGGGTGAAGCCCTGAGTTAAAACCCAGTCCAACCCCCATCCCAAAAAAGGAAAGAAAGAACAGAGTTTCCAGAGTCGGATGGTGACACTCAGGCTCTAATACCTACTTCGCCACACATCGGCACAAATCAAGCAAGTTTCTTAACCTCTATAAATCTATTTTCACATATATTAGATAGAGATAAGACCCTCTATTATCTCATCTATCACAAGGATGAATGACTGATAAATACAAGGTACCTGAAAAAAAATGTGAAAAACATTAAGTGCTCAATAAATGGTAGGCATTATTAGTAAAACTCTATATTGAAAATCAGATTCACTGCCCATGACTTTTATTATAGGAAAAAAATGGGACCAGTATGATTAAATAAATTTGGAATACAAACAGAGGGTTTAATCTATCAGCATTATATACCCTCTTCATAGCAAAAGAAATGTGACACTGGTGCCAGGACCATAGAATCCACTGGTACGTCATACCTGATGTGATTCAGAAGCTGCTGGTCTAGTAAAGTATTAAAACAGCCTGCAGAAGGCAAAGGCAAAGTGCCAACTCTGAGGCAATACTCTTTAAGGATGGAATTCCATCCTCTAAGACTCAGAGCACCAAGTCAAAAACTTACGGTACTATGATGCTAACAGGACAAACAGGTGATCAAGGAATGAAGGAGTAGATGCATGAATGGTCTCACTCCCAAAACCCAGTAGGGGACTCTGTTTCCCATTTCTGTCCACAGAGGGGCACATTTCTGCCAGGGGAACAGACACAAAGGTAACACATGGGCACTTTGGTGGCCTTGTGCCAGGAACAGGGGGAAAGAGAGAAATATTCCCTTGAGTGGTACCCAACTCCTATCACCTGAAGCAGGTGGGATTGCTATCACACATTGGGGGCTGCTTTGGTTTGAATGTCCCCTCCAAAACTCTTGTTGAAATGTAACTGTCATGATAATATTAAGACATGAGACCCTTAGCAGGAGAATGGGGCTTTGCAATTTTCGATGGATCAATGCTACTAACAGCATTAATGGAATGGGGGCTAGTGATCTCAGGAGTGGGCTCTGGATGAAAGGATAGGTTTGGCTCTCACCCTTCTCTTCACTTTTATTTTCCACCTCTCCCTCCCTGCCATGCTCTGTTGCCATGTAATGTCTTTTATCATGGGATGAGGACCTCACCAGTAGCTGAGCCATGTTCTTGGACTCCAGTGTCTAGAACGATGAGCCAAACAGACTTCTGTTCATTATTACAAACTGCTGTTCTATAAATTACTCAGTCCTTGATATTCTGTTAAACTTGTATAAAACATGCAAACACAAGTGTGTAGTAAACCTATATGGATGCCTCATGTGACCAGGTAACTACCAAGACCAGCACAGTGGGTCACTGAGCATCAGGGTAATCTAAAAGTGGGCAAAGGAGGAGGGAGATGCAGCCCAAGACCAACTGCAACAGTAGGGCTAAAGTTCATCCCATTAACCTCCTCTTCTTTATTTCCCAAGGAAGAAACCCAGAACAATTGGTCTCCAACATATGTGAGGAAGTAGATCCAAATGATGAAAGGAGTAGACTGCAATGAACCATCGCAAGGAGAGATTTGCATAATCCATACAATTGGGAACACTACTGAACAGTGGTCAGTGGTCAGCTCCATCAGTTTTGCCTCAGCTACAGAAAGATCACCTTGCCCAAAAATACAGCTTTCCCTGGAAAGTCCACATCCAGGACTAATCCACCAGTGAGAAGTAAGGGCCAGCTGACTGCGTTGGCCCACAGTGGGACAATGCTAACATAACATACCCTATATGCAGTAAAGTTCTCCAGTAGAGAACTGGAGATACTGGCTTTATTAGGCCAGTATCTAGTCTAAAGTCACTCACTCTCCTTCCCTTCCACAGGTCCTAATGCCTAATAAGTATCCACCAAATTCTGTTTCAGTACTTGCTCTTAGAGACTGTGCTACATGGCAAACTAGATATTTTGTATTAACTTAAAATACATCTAAGAATGCACACTTTGTTTTCTTGTTATCCATACCTCCAACAGTTCACAAATTGATAGGTATCATCATATAGCATTGAGTTGCTCTTCAATATCACATAGTGAACACCTTATACATCTGGAAGGAAATAACTAAAGAATTAAGATGAAAGAACAACTAGTACATATATGGCCACATATACGTGCAACTTACTTGTATTGAGGAAGGATTTGGAACAGTGGTTGCCACAGTAGTTCCTATCTGTGCCAATTTTTTAACAGGTGCCACTGCCACTTTCTTGACTAACTGTGAGCTAGAATTCTTGGAGGGACGGACAAGATAACACAGTCATTGGTATTAATCATTTAAAAGTCAGTAGTCACTATGGGGAACATTAAAACACATTACCCTAACAAATTTACTTGCTGTAACTGGCATTATAACCTTATAGATTTGATGCACATTCTATAGTATAAAATGAACTGATCAATTGGCCAGTTCACGCTCATTTCCTATTCTTAAATAGATAATTAATTCAATAAAAAACCCTTCTATTTATCTGAAGCTTCCAACTAAATAAGTACTACAGCATTCAGCATTAAAATCTTAAACTTTACTGTAGCCAGGCACCAGTGGCTCACATCTATAATAAAAGCTACTCACAAGATCGAGAGCAGGAGGTTTGTGGGTCAAAGCCACCGGGGCAAAGAGTACTCAAGACCCTACATATCACACACATACACACACACACACACACACACACACACACACACACACACACACACACACACACAAAACAAAAAACCAATACAAAAAAAGGGTTGGTGGAGTGGCTCAAGTGGCTTAGCAAGCTCTGAGTTTAAACTTCAGTACTGCCAAAAAAAAAAAAAAAACCACTTGACTGTGATCCATGAGAAACCACATAAATTTTTATTTAATGTTTAAATTTTTTTTTAGTAGGACTGGTGTTTGAACTCAGGACTTCATACTTGCAAAGCAAATTACTCTACTGCTTGAGCCACACCTCCAGTCCTAATATTTAATTATTAAATAAAAAATCTGCTAAACTATGTTCTTGTCACATAGAAAAAAATCCAAGGAGAAAAGGAAGGAGCAACTATTATTGACAGAAGAAGTAACTCCTTGAGGTTGAGCACCTAGAATCAAATTCTAACTCCTAGAGTTAGGAGAGCACAAAAACAAACAAGAAAGGGGCAGGGAATAATATTCCCACAAAAAACACGCCATCTTTCTTTTGCTGAGCCTGAGTCAGTCATCAAAAACATGCTAAGCTACATTTACCGTCTTCTATTTAAATAAAGATGCTCCCGAAAATATTTTTTAATTTTGTCACACAGGATAAGCACTAGTTATTTAGAAAAATCACCATGTATATGAAACAAATCATTTTCTAACAGTGCAAAATTAATGAAATATTATAGCAGATTTCTATGCTATTCAGTTTCTATAAGGTATGGAATAAAGTAAATAGTGTACATGGGTGTCTCACTATTATACTACAAATTAAAATTGAAGCACAATGGTAATTTTCTTCCAAGATTCAAATTGCCCTTGGCTAATTTCTTTGAGTACCACAAAAATTATTGAGTACAAGATTCAATATTCATTATTTTAGCAATTATCAAATGCCAAAACCAAAAATCTTGATAGAATTAGCATATTCAAGGAAAGACACTTAATTGGAAAAGCTAAACAAAATCATCTCAAATTACATTTACTGAGAAACACGTACATATGGATATGCAGATGGTAGCTGGGAAGCAGGGAGATTAAGGTCTCTTACCGGCATTGTACAGATTTTGACTGTTTGAGTATGTACTGCTACTGCTGGCCTTGAAGTTATGTTGTTTGTGGTGTCGGCTCTTGTTACAGCTTGCTGAGGAGACACCAGCATCAACTGACCACTATTACTTTTGATCAAAACTGTTCCTATATTAAAAGAAAAACAACAATGTACACACATGAGTAAATGTAAAAACAATAAAAAAATCTGACTTCTAAGCTTAAAAATAAACCATAATCACCACATATTTTCTTCTCCCATTCCAACAATGGAAAATGCTAAATAAGTGCTTAGTAAATAATAAACTCCATGTTTACTAATTATCACACATAAAATGGTAAAATGTTTTCATTCAAAGCTATCTTAAAATATTATAAAAACAGCCTGGCATGGTGGCAATGCCTGTAATCCCTGCACTAAGAAAGAAGACTAATAGAAGGGTAATGACTTCAAGGCCAGCCTGGGCTATATAGTGAGATCCTGTCTCAAAATACCAAAATAAGATAAAATAAAAATAAAAATCTAAGCATATGACAAGATACTCCAGAAGGGGACTGGTGGAATGGATCAAGCAGTAGTGCTTGCCTAGCAAGTGTGAGGCCCTGAGTACTAAAAAAAAAAAGATACTCCAGAAGAAGGCAAAATACTTGTCCTTCCTAATATCAAAACTATGAGGTTATATTAGTTAAGACAGTGTGATGACAGCGTATGACTACACAAGCTGGGATGGAGGTGGGGCTCATGCAGTAAAAGAATGCCTGCCTCACAAATGCTAAGCCCTGAGTTCAAACCCCAGTACAGAAAAAAAAAATGCAAACAAAATAGAAAACCCCAAAACAGACTCACTTGGATTTATCATACACACTGAGCATCTCTAATTCAAACTTCTTTCAGACCAAAGGTGTTTTAGATTTGGGAGTTTGGGGGAATTTGGAATATATGCATAGACTTTACCAGGTGAACATCTCTAGCAGAAAATAAAATATCCAGTATGTTCCAAAATCCAAAACAACTGAGCACTGACATGACATTCAAAATGTACAAGATCTCAGGTTAGAGATAGTCAACCTGTGTGAAATCCTCCTGAGAGGCTCTGCAGACTCATGAGTAAAGAAGTGACTGTTCAATAAACAAAGCTATTCAATAAAGCACAGATGAATTATAAACAAGGTTATGGTACGGGTCTGCCACAGGCTTGTGCACACAAGCACTGTTCTCTAATGCAGCAGTGGTAATTGAGTACATCATGAGGACTCCAAACTCTAAACTTTTACCAAATGTGGAAAATTATCTTTTGAACTTGTAACAGGAAGGACTTCTTAAAATAAGTCTGATAAATTTAATTACACCAAAAAGACTTTCAGGGCTGGAGGCTTGATTCAAGCTGTATAGAGTGCCTGCTTTGCAAGCACAGAGTCCTGAGTTCAAACACCAGTCCCACAAAAAACAAAACAAAACAAAACAAAAACCTTTTCAACTAACAAAAGATACCTTCAGATAAAAATATAAGACACAAATATAAGGGGCTAGTACAGTGGCTCAATTGGGGTAGAGATCCTGCCTGCCTAGCATATGTGTGGACCTGAGTTTAAACCCCAGTACCACCAAAAGTATATGTGTGTATGTATGTATACATATATATATACATATATATACATATATATACATGCACACATATATAATATATATAATATACATAGAATTTTATATATATACATTTTATCCCATTTTGTATCATATATAAGCTATATATTTAAATACATATATGTACATGACACAAAATGGGATAAAAATATTTTTCAGAAATATTCACAGAGCAAGTCTCGAATACACAGGAAGCAGGGATGCTGATGACAGAGAATGTTAATTAAGACCACAGTGAAATATTAGTTTCTATCTATCTAGACAGGCAAAAATTAAGAAATCTAATACCACTGGGCTCTAATGGCTCACACCTGTAATCCTAGCAACTAGGTAGGCTGAGCAGGAAGATCATGGTTTGAGACCAGACAGGCCAAAAAGTTTGAAAGACCTTCATCTCCAACATAACCAGAGCAAAATGAACCAGGTGTGGCTCAAGTGATGGAGCACTTGCTTTGCAAGCGAAAAGCCCTGAGTTCAAACCCCATCCCACCAAAAGAAACCCGATAGTAGTACTAAGTGTTAGAGAGATGTACATCCAGGGGAAGGCTACAGTCTTACTTGGTGGTGGGGTGATCGCTACAACTCAGTGTTCCACCGCTGCCAAATTGGTTTCCATCTGCATCCCTTTAATACATTATTTCTAACCTAAAGACATTCTTGTCAGGGTCAACAGGAGTCACAAACAAGAATACTCACACCTGGAATTCCAGAATGGCAGCATGATGAGTTCCACAAACTGATTCATCAAGAAACAAGCATATCTGGTGGAAACTACTTTTTAAAAACAGCCACTGAAAGTCTTTGGAAATTTCCGTAAGGCAAACAAAACAATGACTACACAATTATTAAAGATCTACCCAAACTCATTAAGAATAGAAGAATCTGTAGCATCTAAACACTACTCCCACCCCTTCTCAGCTCAGCATGAAAGAAACTCTACCCCAGGTAGTGTGGTCACAAACACAAGGCTCTCTCTACCCTAGGCTCACAGCGAAAGGTCATGGTATCTCCCCGGGAAGAGCAAACCCCAGTATTTCTCATCTCTCCTCACTCAGAATCATACAGAAGATGACCAGTACATCCTAGAAGTTTGAGGCTCCCTTCTTCACCCATCCCCACTCCTTTAAAAAACAAAAGGAAGGCTCTACTTCAGGGATGCACATTGAACATACTTGAGCCTCAAACCCCAGCTCTCATAGAGTAGAGAGAGGTTCCATGCTGAGAGAGGTGAGTACCACCTAGGCCCACCAAGTACCTGCCCCTAAAATAAAGATGTAATTCAGAGAGAAACATGCCAAGTCCTGACCCCTACTCCAAATAGCTCCCCAAAGTAACTGACTTTATTTCAAATATACTGTAAAGAAATTCAAAGCTAAGGGCATTCTCAAATAAAATGGAGCTATTAAGAAGAGGCTGATCAATATTAAGTCCAGTGTCACCAGGCACCTGTGGCTCAGGCCACTAATCCAAGCTACTCAGGAGGCAGATCAGGAGAACCACTGTTCCAAACCAGCATGAGGCAAAAAGCTCTCAAAACCCTATCTCAAAAAAACCCAATACACAAACAACAACAAATGTTGGCGAGGATGTAGGGGGAAAAGGAACCCTCATATACTGTTGGTGGGAATGTAAACTAGTACAACCACTATGGAAAACAGTATGGAGGCTTCTCAAAAAACTAAAATCAGAACTGCTATATAATCTAGCAACTCCAGTCCTAGAGATATACCAGAAGGAATGTAAGTCAGGTTACAACAAAGACACCTGCATACCCATGTTTATTGCAGCATTATTCACAATAGATAAGCTATGGAAACAGCCAAGATGCCCACTACTGATGAATGGATTAAGAAAATGTGGTATTTATACACAATGGAATTTTATTCAGCCCCATAGAATGAAACTTTGTCATTTGCATGTAAATAGATGGAAATGGAGAACATTATCTTAAGTGAAGTTAGCCAGACTCAGAAGGCCAAAAACCCCATGTTTTCTGTCATATATATTATGGAATATAGACCTAATACTAATATAAGAAATACTATAAAAAACACCTCACATTAAGGGGAGTTCACATATAAGAAGGGGAGGGTAAAAGAAGTTAAGGTGAAGATGGTTGATGTACTCTCTATATAAGAATGAATACAGAATTTTTAAACTGGTTGAAACCATCATAAGAAAGGGACTAGGTAGAAAGGAGAAAAATAGAGGAGATAAACCAAATTGGGCTATAATACATATATACATGGAAATGCCACAAGGAAACTCTCTGTGTAGCTATCTTAAACAGGCAAAAATGTCCTTTTTCATTTTTTCTTGTTTTTCTTATACAAAATCAGAGAACAGAAGGGTGGAACAAGTCCTGCCTGGGAGAGCTGGTAGCAGTAGGAGGCGGAGGAGGTGGGGAAATGGTGAAGAAGGGTGAATATGGTGCAAATACTGTGTACAAATGTATGTAAATGGAAAAAAAGACCTGTTGAAACTATTCCAGGAAGGGGGGAGGGAGGGAGGGGGGGGAAGAGATGAATTCTAATACTATATACTTGATATATTATAAGAACTTTTGTAATTGCACAATGCATCCCCACATAGCACAACAATAAAAAAAGAAAACAAATACAAAACAGGAGCGGCAGAGTGGCTCAAGTGATAAGAGCACCTGTTTAGCATGCATAAGGTCCTGAGTACAAGCCCCAGTACCATTAAAAAATAGAAAAAAAAAAGACCCTGCCAAAAAAAGGATGAAGGAAGGAAGGTTGGTTGAAAGTAGTTAGAAAAAGCATCACACAACAGCAACCCTAAGAGAGCTGGAGAGGCAAACTAATAGCAAACAACAGACTTTAAATAAAACATGCTACAAGAAGAGCCAGGCATAGTGGTACACATCTGTAATCCCAGCTACTTGGAAGGCAGAGATCAGGAGGATCATCATTCAAGGCCAGTGCAGACAAAAAAGTGAGACCCAACTCAGCCTAGGCTAGGCATTGTGGTTTACACCTTAAGACCAGATACACATAAGGCATAAGTAGGTGGATAGTGGTCCAAGACTGGCCCTTGGCAAAACATGAGATACTTTCCAAAAAATAACTAATGCAAAAATGGTTGGGGGTGCTTCTCAATGGTGGAGCACTTGCATTGTAAGCACAGGTCATGAGTTCAAGCCCCAGTGCTACCAAAAAAAAAAAGTCATGACAAACACAAAGGGTGCTTTATAATGATAAAGGGTCCAATAAATCAGAAAGCTGTAACATTTTAAACATATGCACCAAACTACAAAACCTAAAATGTATAAAGCAAAAACTGATGGATGTGAAGGGAACCATAAATAATTTAAAAACAACACTTGTAGGCTTCAATATCCCACTTTCAATCAAGGACAGAACTAGACAGATCACAGCAGGGAACGTACCTCAGTGGACCATTTGCCTGTCATGGGCAAAGCCCTGGATTCAATCTCCACCCCATGAAATAAAACTAAAAAGGTCAACAAATAAATCGAAGCCCTAAAACACATTAGACCTACTACTCATCTATAGAATACTTCACCACCAATAACAGGATTCTTTTTAAGTGCAAACAGAACAACCAAGACAGAACATTTAAGTCTGACACAGGTGGCACACTCCAGTAATTCTAGCTATTGGGAGTCAGAGTTCAGGAGGATCATGGTTCAAAGCTAGACTCCCTACCTTGAAAATAACCAACACAAAAAAGGACTGGTGGAGTGGCTCAAGTCATAGAGCGTCTGCCTAGCAAGCAAGAAGCCCTCAGTTCAAACCTCAGTGTCACCACACCAAAAAAGACCACTTATAAACTTTAAAAGTATTTAAATCATTAAAAAGTATTGTCTGCAACTAGAGTGGAATGAAATTAAAAATCAGTAACAGAAAAACAAGTGGAGGAACGCACCAATGTGTGGCTATTAGACAGCACACTCCTACATAACCAACAGGAAAATGGAAAATACTTTGCGATGCGTGAAAATGAAGGCACTACCTAGCACATTTGTGGGATCCTGCTACCAGTGTTCACAGGAAAATTGATAGCTACAAATGTCTCCAATCAGTAACACCTTCCATCTTAAGGCAAGCAACATAAAAACCGAGCAGAAGAAATGATAAAGGTTACAGTAAAGGTAAATAAAATAAGGAACAGAAAGACAATTGAGAAAAAAATGGTGAAACCAAAAGTTGGTTCTTGGAAGACATCTACAAAACTGACAAACTTAGAATAACAACTAAGTAAAAAAGAAAAGTAGAATCCAAAACTACTAAAATAAGGAAGGAAAGAGGGGGCATTGGGCTAGGGATGTAGCTCAGTGGAGCACTTGCTTACCATTCAAAAGGCCTGGATTCAATTCCCAGAATTGAGGAAAACAATTTTTTAAAAAGAGGGACATTTCTGCTAGCCACACAGAAACAAGGAATCTAAGGAAAGTCTGATCAACTATAAGCCAATAAATTAGATAAATCAGGGGAAACAGGCAAATTCCTAGAAATACACAAGCTACTGAAACTGACTCATGAAGAAAGAGACAACCTGAATAGACAGTGAACAAATAGATATTGAATCAAAACAGTATCCTTAAGAAAAGCACAGGATCAGCCCAGCAATGGTGGCTCACGCCTGTAATCCCAGCTACTCAGGAGGCAGAGATCAGGAGGATCACGGTTCAAAGCCAGCCTAGGCAAATAGTTCACAAGACCCTATCTCAAAAAAACCCATCACAAAAAAGGCTGGTTGAGTGACTTAAGGTGTAGGCCCTGAGTTCAAACTCCAGTACTGCAAAAAAAAGAAAAAGAAAAGCCCAGGTTCCCATAGTTTCACTGGTCAAGTCTACCTAACACTTTAAGAAAAATTAAACCAGACACCAGTGGCTCATGCCTATAATCCTGTGGTTCAAGCCAGCCCAGGAAAATAGTTTGCAAAACCCAATCTCCAAAATAACCAGAGAAAAATGAACTGCAGGGTGACTCAAACGGACAATGCTTGCTTTGCAAGTGCAAAGTCCTGAGTCCAAACCCCAGTTCCCCAAAAAGCAGTAATAACAATAACAATGAAGAAAAATTAATGCTAATCCTTCACAAACTCTTTCCAAAAATCAACACAGACTATGCCCCAATTCATTCCATAGGTCAAGATGACCAACACCCCAAAAAGCCGAGGATATCACAAGAAAACTACAGCCCCTTATAAACATACATGCAAAAATTCTCAGGCAAGTACCAGCAACACTCTGGTTCCCTGTGGCCCATGTCTTTAATCCTAGCTTCTCAGGAAGCAGAAACAGAAGATCACAGTTCCAAGCCAGACAAGACAAATAGTTCACAAGATCTTACCCAGAAAAACCCACTGCAAAAAAGTACTGGCAGAGTGGTTCAAGTGGTGGAGCCTCTGCCTAGCAATGTATCAAAAGCATTATACATGAGGACCATGTGACATTTATCTCAAGAATGTAAGGTCCGTTTGGCATCTGAACATTGAATGAAACATCTTATCAATAGAAAAAGAAATGACAAAAGTCACATTACCATTAAACAAGTAGAGAAAATAAGCAAAGGCTGGGAAAGTAGCTCTGTGGTAGATTGTTTATTTAGCATGCCCAAGTCCCTGAGTGCAAAAATAATAAAAAAAAAGGAGAATGAAAAATACACTCAAAATATTTTGGGGAGCTGGGTGGCAGTGGCTCACGTCCGTAATCCTAGATACTAGGAAGGTTGAGATCAGCAGGATCAAGGTTGGAGGCCAGCCTGGACAAACAGTCCAGGAAAGCCGCCACCTCTGTGGGACTTAACAATCAAAAAGGGAAGGAAAAAAAAAAAGCATGCGACACTATAGTGATGACAATAGAGTGATCCTGCGTGTACATACTAGGACAACCTATAGAACTATGGACACTTTCTCCTGAGGGATAGGAAAAAATAATGCCTTTGACGTTAATCTGACTCCAGGCTTTCAAGTGGAAACAGTGCAGGGCTTTGGTGAGCACTGAAGAACAGCCTCTCATTTCACCAAGCCCAGCTGTGGACCTAAATTATCCCATTTGTAGCATACGTTTGGTAAAGCTAGAGTGGAAACAGACAACCACAACCTTGTCGAGGGACTGCATCAGGAATTTTACAAAGATGTGACTTAAACTACTTCACAAACTAGTACAGTACGACTGTCATCCAGAATGTATCAGTTTATGACCTAAAGGAAGTAATGTAATCTTTGCTCACCACTCTCTAGTGGTAGGCAAGGTGCAGAATATCAAAAGCAGGAAGGGCCACAGTTAGGCCTAAAATCCCATTATGTGAACAGAAAAGATTGAAGAGATTTCTAACACCTTTCATTTTCACAAGGTGCCAGTAGCTCACACCTATAATCCTAGCTACTCAGGAGGATCCAGGTTCAAAGCCAGCAAGAGCAAATAGTTTGCAAGACCCTATTTAGGGAAAAAAAATAATAAATCACAAAACAGGGCTGGTGGAGTGTGGTGAGTAGCTCAAGGTGTAGGCCAAGTTCAAGCCCCAATACTACAAAAAAAAAAAAAACTTTTCATTTCCTTACCATGCAACACCCCCCCCCTTTTTATTTCAGGCCCTGCTCCCCAGAAAAACCTGTAGTGCATATGTGTATTTTTAAAAAACAGTTTTAATCATTAAAAAAACCTCTGAAATAAAGAGAAATCAAATACCAGAGGTATTCCTTATCTTGGAAAATTAAGAACAAATATGTTCTTGAGTAATCAAATATTAATATCAGGATTCATAACCTAAAAGTTACTCACTGTTCAATTTCAGTCTTCGACTACGGATCTTCTGCCAGCATTAGTTCCCAAAGGAGCTCTGCTAAGCACCTTCCAACCACCTCTATAACAATTCTTAAGACAAAGGATCTCCTCTCTTTTGGAGGGTTTCTCTGTGATCAATGGTACAAAAAAATTTAATGTCATGCTACAAAAATGGGTAGCCTTGGCTTTAATTTGATATTTAACGCAGGCAAGTTTCTTTTGCTTTGTTGATGTATGAAATGAAAGTTTAGGCTCTGAAACTCTCTAAATCACCATTCAGCACTGATACTCAAGGAGGCATACTGCACACACTCAGGTGGTAAGCACTGTTGTACAAAGAGGAAATTAGTCCTAGACTCAAGTTCCCTCAGGCTCCAAGGAGTTGCCAGGCATTAGGCAAATTATTTACCCTTAGAAACCTCTTTCCTCATGTGCTACCTGCCTATTTTGCCCAATGAATAAGAGAATACAATATATTAAAAGTTCCTAGCATGGTAAGCCCTCAACAAGTGATTCTTTCCAATTTATCAGTGACAATTTTTCTATCTTAATTTTTTTTGGACTGTTTCAAACAAACTTCCATGATGAGATAGGAATTTATATTTTAACAAATCAGGGAGCAATTTCATTCAAACACACTCATAACAATGTAAAACATAAGCAGGATGACAATTTAGAAATGGTAAATACGACTCCCTTGCTGCATGCAGTCTAACAAGTTCAGGTACCTTGTGTACCATATAAATCTGAAACAAAGTTTCCTTCAATGTGGGAACATAATCTGACCATAATGTTCACAACCAAACACAATACTAGTTACAAACAGAAGCTCTCCGTCCTTTTGGTAGGGGATTCCAAAGAAATCTTTTCAATCAATGCTTCCACTTCTTTACTACCCAAATCAAGATTAGGAAAAGTCCCCCTGGCTTGGATTGTTTTTAGGCCTATCTGCAGGGAGAAGTTCTACTTTCTGCTCAGTAAAACTAATAGGAGACAAATTCCAAGAGACTTTCAGTTGAGCAAAGACAGAAGGTGAAACACTCTAATTTCACTCGATACATTATCACGAAGCAAACTCCATGTAAACCATGAAAAATGGCCCTCTGCAGTAATAGCCCCTAGGATGAAAAGCAGTCAGAAGACTCATTAAGGATGTGCTCACACATAGCTTCCAATGTAACCACGGGGCTCTGATGTATTTGTCAACCCTGGCACTTGGTTACTGTACAGGAATTCTTTCTGCTACTAGAAAACTGGAAACTTATTATAGCTTGGCAAAGACACTTTTTTTGCATGATAATCTAAGCGTGTGGGAATATCAACCGGCCCTTTCTCCTCTATGTCCCCTCCCTAGGAGCCAGTGTCTCAAGGGCCCTTCTGAACATGCTGCTCCACCTGTGCTGTCCCTTAAGGGAAACGATTACTTCCTTGAATATGAAAGCTTTAATGACACCAAAGGGTTCTATTAATCGTAAAGCCAAATTTCTGGCCCATGGTGGCTTCCAAGACGCTCACTGCAAAGTCAAAATTATGGAAGGTTCTCTTGGCTCGGACTTTTTATTTTACTTTATTTTAGAGCCACCAGCAAGAAGAGGCAACCCGGGGCTGCGACATTACACGTATCACCGCAGGCTGATGCTTGATGGAGGCTCAACATACCTGGAGGAAGCTGCACACTAGCCGGCAACTGGATGGTCGTGGTGTTCGGGGCTTTCACGGTGACAATCTGAGGAGCCGGCAGCCGCGGCCCGCCGCTCAGTTTAGGAAGGGCACTGACAGGAGCCACTTTGGTCACTAGCGTCCCCAGGGGGGACCGCAGGGGCTGGGACGCCACGGACTCCACCTGGGTCACGGCGCCCAGGGTCACCGAGGTGCTGTCCACCCGGACCGGCAGCGCCCCGGCTGGGGCCATGGCCTCGGTCCCCGGGGCGCCCATCACGGCGCTCGGGGCGGCGCCGGCCGGCTCCGAGAGGCCCGCGGGCATTCCCCGCGGTGTCAGCGGCAGCCGGAGCGCCGCCGTTCCGGGAGCAGAGGGCCACGCGAGCTGTGGCGGGCGGCAGGCGGCTTCAGCGCGCTTCTGGCTCCACAGCATCGCTGGGGACCGGCGGAGAAGCCAGAGGAGGGCGCCGGCTGGGGGCAGGACCCGCGCGTCCCAGCCCTTCCTCCGCACCCGCCCGGCGCGCGCCGCTCCCACGTGCGCCGCTCAGCCCGGCCCGGGCGCCCTCAACGGTGTCACTTCGGTTCCCACCTCCGAGCCTCACCGCGCGGAGTCTCCCCCGCCAGAAAGGTCAAAAAGTACAGGCCCGCCGCGCCTCAAAGCCCCTCGCCGCGCCTCAAAGCCCCCCGCCGCACTCCTGACCTACTCCGCCACGCCAGCCATGTTTATATAGCCACGCGGAGAGCTCGCGCAGGCGCCCGTCCGCCCCGCCCCGGGCTTCCCCGGAGTCCCGCCCTCTGATTGGCCAGCGGGAGGAATCGCGCCCGTGACGTCACTCCGAGGGTATTAGAATCTTCCCAACACTGGCCAGCCTGCAGTGGCAGGCTGCTGAAAACGTGTCACGTGCAAGGAGCGACCTGCACCTGGAAACTGCTGCATCAGTCGTCCTCTCCTTGGTGTCCCCCTGGCCCCCACTTCTGTGTTTCGGAAAAAGCCTGAACTAGACTTTCCCAGGCTTCTGGTTTTCTAAGAGAAAATCTGGAGGATTGATTTGGGAAAAGGTGAAATTGGATCAGAACTCAATCATGCTTCTGCAGTCATTTTCTGTGGCTTCACTCAGAAGTCCCACTAAAATTAGCATTACCCTTGTCACTGTGAAAATAAGAGAGGGTATAATCTTATCTGTGAAGTGTGACTGTTTCCTTACCATTTTAGAGTTGAATTACCTAAAATCTAAAGTGGATTTTTTCTTCCTCCTTGCTGTTTGGTATGTCTCTCTTACCTAGAACTTATTTTAATTGTTTGTGTTGGCAATAATGGCGCTGATAGGTTTCAGTTCTTACTGTACCCTTAAGCTTCTGTTTCCCAGGGTCACGGTCCTGCCTCAAGTCTAGCTTGAATTCTTCTTCTGCCCCAACCTCCAATCAGCTCCTGGGAAATAGCTTCTACATCCTCCAATTCTAGCACTATGATCTTAAGTTCAATTAACTGAAATGTATTTGGAATATGGAAAAACCTGCCGCTTGGTGATCTAGTTTAAGAAGATGTCTTCATTTCTGACCACGGTCATAAGATTATATGTTTGTAGGAAATAACACTATACAAAAGGAGATTTTCCAAGTTTGCAAGTGTAATGTTGTAAATGTGTTGCCCCCAGTTCAAATGTTGAAATCTTAATGGCATTAATTATGAAAAGGCTTGCTAGAGATAATAGTGTGTACTTTTGTTTAAGGTGACTTTGCACATTTTTCTTTTACTTTTAAGTTTTTATTAGCATGAATTAATTGTCAAAGGGGTTTCATTGTGATATTTACAAACATGCATATAATGTACTTTCATCAAATTCCAGGTGGGTTCACTTGTGAATTCTCCCAATTCATATATAAGGAAGGTAGGATACTGAAGCAGGCTAGAATTAGGGAAAGTTCAGGACTCTTAGAAAATACATGACTTAATACTGTATTTCAGACTGAACATGACTTTCTCTGAGCCTCCTTTTCAATTGCAAATGTGTGTAGGTTATTCACGCCCTACCTCAGGGACAATTCAAACCACCTTCACCTGGCCAGGGCTCCACCCATCTCCTCCTCACTCATTAATATTGGTTGAGAATCACTAGGTTTTTCCCTTCCCATAGGTTAGTATAGATTTTAAAAGCACTTGGTAAAGAAAAAGCTCTCTCTGCTTCCAGTTTCCAGCTGGTATCACCAAGCTGCCTTTTGTAATTCCCTTCCATAACTTCTTTTTTCATCAGGATTTGAACTCAAGGCCTGCACCTTGAGCCACTCCACCAACCCTTTTTTGGGATTTTTTGTTTTGTTTTGTTTTGTTTTTTGAGAAAGGGTCTCGTAAAACTGTTTGCCCAGGCTTGCACTGATGCGATCCTCCTGATCTCTGCCTCATGACTAGCTAGGATTACAGGTATGAGCCACTTGTCCCTGGCTCCCCTGTGGAAATTTTTTTTGGGGGGAGGACAGTACTGGGGCTTGAACTCAGGAACTTCATCTTCAGCCATTCCACTAGCCCTATTTTTATTTTCTTTTATTTATTTTTTTGAGATAGGCTCTTGCAGAACTAGTTTTCCTGGGCTGGCTTTGAACAGTGATCCTCCTGATCTCTGCCTCCTGAGTAGCTAGGATTATAGCCAAGAGCTACTGGAGCCAGGCTCCCCTATACAATTTTAATAATCCATTATACCCACATGTCCTGTCATGTATTCTTCTACATGGGACACAAAAAATTTGGAAATTTTCTAATCATAGTTTGCACCATTGATGTTAACACTATGACTAACTGTGTTTTATCTGGCAATAAGATTCGTTGCACATTTACAAATCAGTTGAGCCTGAGGCAGTAATCAGGAACATCATGGTTGGAGGCAAGCCTGGGCAGTTCTTCAGACCCTATCTCAAAAATACACAACACAAGAAAGGGCTAGCATATTGGTTCACATGGTAGAGCACCTGCCTAACAACCTTGTGGTCCTGAGTTCAAACCTTAGTACCACCCCCACCCAAAATAAATCCTTCAATACAATTCACCATATTAAAAACTGGAAAGGAGCTAGGGGGATAAAAATCCATCCTCCATTCCTAATAAAAACCCTCAGCAAAGTAAAAATAAAACAGAACTTTCTTCATATTATAAAAGTCATTTCCAAAAAAATCAGAGAAACACCATGTATGATGGTGAAAACTAAATGCCCTTAGCCAAAGATTAACAACACAGCAGGAATATCATGAGTACCACTGTTACCCAATATTGGAGTAGAAATTCTTTGTGTCTTTAAAGTTTCCATTTTTTAAATATAATGCTCAATTAATTTGCTGGAGGTTTTTTTTTTTTTTGGTAGTGTTACTGGGATTTGAACTCAGGCCTCATACTTGCTATGCAGGTGCTCTACCTCTTGAGCCATCAATTAGCTTTTTATAGACTAAAATTTTCATATTATGGAATAAGTTCAAAATTTTGACTAACACTAGGCCAGAATTCATAATTTTACTGAAAACTTTATAGTTTTACATGGAGAAATATGGATAATTTCTTTTGGGTGTCATTTGTTTACAGTGAAAGGTAAGGATAGAGATTGACTTTTTTAAAAACTATATGCCCAATTGTTCTATCACAATGTGCTGAAAAGACTATCATTGCTCTACTTGCATTTGTCTACTTTGCATCTTTTAAAATACATGTGTAGCTATGTTTCTGAAGCTGTGGTGTCAATTGGTCTATCTTCATGCAATACCACATTTATTGTCGTGTAATTTTATACTGAGGCTACACAATAAGACTGTCCTTGCACTGGTACTCATGCCTATAATCCTAGCTACTTTGGTAAGCTGAGATCTGAGATCAGGAGGATTGTGGTTCAAGGTCAGCCTGTGCAAATAGTTCAAAATAACCAAGCAAAATGGTCTGAGGTGTGGCTCAAGTGGTAAGAGCCTACTTAGGAAGGGCGAAACCCTGAGTTCAAACCCCAGCCCAATTTTAAAAAAAAGAAAAACTACTTTTCAACCATTCTTTAGTTATTCTATGTGGTTTGTATTTCCACTTGAATTGCAGAAACTTTTTTTTCCAAGAAACCTTCTGAGATTCTGACTGGGATTGCATTTTGATCAATTTAGGAAGAATTGACATTGTAACAATATTAAGTATAAACCAATTCCAGATTGTTTCACTCGGATTCATATTTAAGAAATATCTGACACCAATATTTGAGGAAAATATAACAATTGCTTATCAATTCTTCCATAAAATTGAAAAAAAAGGAGATATCATTATGCTTTACTGCTATCCCAGGAACACTGTATATCTCTGCATTTATTTAGGTCTAATTACATTTCCTCAATAGTGTTTTGCAGTTTTTGATCTGGAAGCTTTCACAACTTTATCAGATCGATCTTTAAGTATTTTCTTTTTTTTTTCTATTGCAAGGGATATTGTTTTTTATTTAAATTTTGAATTATTCCCAATATGTAGAAATACAGCAGATTTTGTTTATTGATATAATATTGTGAGCTGGGCACCAATGACTCACGCCTGTAATCCGAGTTAGTTGGGAGGCTGAGATCAGGAGGATGGAGGTTTGATATCACCCTGGGCAAATAGTTCACAAAACCCCATCTCCAAAAAAAAGCAAAGTAAAATGGGAACTGGAGGTGTGGTTTAAGTGGTATACTACCTGCTTTGCAAGCATGAAGTCCTGAATTCAAACACCAATCCCACCAAAAAGCAAACAAAAACCCCCAAATATTACATTCTGCAACAAAGCTAAACTAATTTTTGTTTACTCTTTTACAGATTTTATCAAATGTGTTGCACTAATATTGTATGAAATACTTCCTAAAGATATATTTTATTTCCTTTTCTTCCCTTTTGGACTGTCTACAAACTCCAGTACAACACTAAATTAAGGCAGTGACAGTTGCTATCCTGGTCTTATTCTTAAAATTACACCAAAACTACTCAGTCTTTTATCATTACATACATTATAGTTTTTCATAGATGCCTTGGCCAGAATAGGGAATTTCTTTCATTTCTATTTTGTTGTGAGATTTTGCTTTCTTTTTTTATTCTTTTGTCTTTGGTGGAACGGGAGGTTGAACACAGAGGCTCATGCTTCCTAGGCAGAAGCTCTAACTTTTGAGACATTCCTTGAGCCCTGCTGTGAATTTTCAATGAAAGATGTTGGATTTCTCCAGTTCCATTCCTGTATCTATTGAGAACATAGGAGTTTTCTTTTATAGTTTTTAGTTTGTTCTAATCTGGTAATTGATTTCAATAAAAAGCCAGCCTTGTGTTCCTGAACAAACTAAATCTGATCATCT